ACCTGTCACCAGTGCTCCCACACAGCAATTCTCCATAAATATAGAAAAGCATGATACAAAACTGTACACTACACCTTTACAAATCTGATGCAATGTTAAAAATGACTGTATTTGCGGAACGCACACAGATTGTGAGGGGAAGAGACATTTGAAGCTTTGTGAAAAACCTGTTAATACATTGATTTAGACAAATTTTGCATTCTCAAAATAATAAAAGGTAACATGGTGATCTAAATATGTTATGTGTTAGCACTTAATACCCCACAGAAGTAAAACACAACCTCTTTAAAAACTTTGAGCAACCAAATAGGTATTAGCTTTATAATAGCCTATATAAAGGATCTTCATGAGCTAAAATGATCAACTGGTGAATTTGGTTGGTAAATACTTTAAAAATAGACATAAGATTTAAGGATCTAGAGCGCTGACTTAATATGTGACCATAGTTGGCAAAAAAGTGTGAAATTAAGTAGTCAGTTTTGCATAATTGGTGGCCAAGTTACCTGAATCAAACAACAATAAAAATACTAAAAACTAAAGACATCACAAAAAATTCTAGTTGAATGACATTATAAAGTATGGATATGTTAAACAAGCTATACACAATGTTTTTCATGTGACAAAGTAAAAAAATAATCGCCACAGTACAGACTGCCCGTCAGCAAACAAAGAAGTAAAGCTGTACACTGTTAGCATGCTAGTTGTTGTCAGCAAATCTCTGTTATAGCCTTTGAAAGCTGTGATACACACTTATAAACTCATTGCAATGAATATTTAGTATGCTAGAAATGCGTTGGGAAAGTGAGGAATAACAATGAACCTTGGTGAACCATTTCAAAGTAGTTTTAGTTGAAGAATACAGGTACAACGCCTTTAACATACAACACAAAAGCGAACAGAACAGACAGAACAACTCAATCCCATTACTTGAGCACAGTCTTACACACCTGTCAATCCTCTTGCATACCATCAGTCCACAAAAAACATCGCAAACGCTAAAAATCCGCTTTCATTTACAGGTTTCCCAATCGTTAAAAAACATCTGAAAAACACCTCACCTTCTTCCTCACTTCCTTCTGTCGGCAGCCTCATCGCCTTTTTACAATGCTACAAGTTTGCCTGCCCAGAAGCAAACACCGACTTTACGAGGTGTGGCAGCATTCCGACAAAGCTCGTGGCAAACATAATGACCATTATTCACCTGGAATGCCTCTCATACCATTGCAATGCTCTCTGCCGTTCCATCTTGTGACTGTACCTGTGCGCCATCCAGGAATGCCAAGTTGCACACAAAATCCCCCCGGGCTTTCCTCCCCGCGCGGCAAGGACTGGTGTCTGTTACTTTGCTTGTTTAAGATCCCGTGTGTTGAATGAGGCTGGTGGATGTGGAGGAGGTAAGGCGTTCCGAAGGGGGAGTGAAGTTTGGAGGAATGTGCCACTTTTTCAGGCCAAGTGCAATGATGAGGGACACTTACAGGAATCTCTCAATTTCCCGTTGAAAGCGCAGAGAAAGTAATCGCAGAAAGATCCCTCCCCTCGTACGGATTTCTTCATTTTGACTGTCAACTCAGGCCATAGTAATTCTGTGAGTCATACCTGAGGGGGTCAAGCTATGAGTGTTATCATAAGTTTGCAACAATGTCATTTGGATATTTGTATTTCAGGACTTCTGATAAAAGATGAAATGTGAGCGTTTTGATAAATTATGAAATTGCATTCCAAGGAAATGTATTACTGATTATTAACAGATTTCTGGAATTGTAAGACTATTAAAATGACATGTAAACAACAAAAAACATCTGATTCCTTCTGTGGTCTTATGGTTATGATTATGTTTGGTTGATATGTATTCAATGCAATATTATTGGAAATATTTCTGCTAAACATTTCATGATGTACTATACACTGGACCAGGACTGTGTTAAGCATAAACTTTAAAGATATTATACAGTAAATGTCTTTGTTATAAAATTAAAGGTGCATTGTGTAACCTTTCTGGTGGAGAGTCTGTCACCTGCTTGTTTCTATGGATATGGCAATTCTCTGTCTGGAATGTTCCACAGTGTGACATTAAACAGATCTAATGTCCATTTATTCAGTTACAGGCGGTTTTATAGTTCAAAAATACCTAGAAAAACAGACGTTCTGACTGTGAGCGGGGTCGCCTCTCCACAGATCAGACCTGTAAATTTGTCTGGTTTGGTCTCCATGAAGATAGAAAGGTTTAATGCCACAGTGTGAAACATTCAAAACAAAGCAATAACATCTCCATGGAGAAAAGCATTTGACGGACCCTCCACTAGAAGTTACACAATGCGCCACAGGAAGAATAGTCTTTACTTTTGTATCTACTGAATAAATAAATTAAGTACACAATGATACACACTTCATATTTTGTGGTTTACATGTCATTTAAGTAATCTTTAAGGTCCAGAAATCAGATTATAATCAGATTTTGATGTGCATGTGAGCATAGCCATTGAAAACACAAAATGCAAACAAGGGTGGGGCCAAACTTTTTCTTCAGAACAGATTTCCTCCATGTTGCCAGGTGGCTCATTGGTACGGCTGCAGCAACCATACAACTACAGCCTGCATTGGCATTGTGAACTACCACATGGGTGCATTCCTTCAACTCCTTTCTTTCCATGAAAAGCATTGCCAATTCCATTTTTCATCAATCAGCCTTTTCCCTTTTCTTTTTAGGATCACCACAACTAACAATACTTTTTGCTTTGGATAAAGGGACTTTGGACTAGATGTCACAATGCTAAGATTTCCAACTCAGTTATTATATTTAAAAAAAGACTTCAATAATGATTTCAGTACCACAATGATAATAAAATGTGTTCTTCAATATGTATATGTATAATGTAATTTTCAGCAAATAGTAGTTTCCTCAAAATTGTCATTTTGTCTTATACAAGTTCGGAAGTAGATCAAGACTGAACTTCTATCTTCTAAGCACTATTTAGGAAAGCTTCTATGTTGTATTAATAGTAGTTCCAATGAGTTTCAGTACTATTTTTTGTATAAATTAGGATGTTAGTTTGTTATCCCTTCCTGTTTCATCTACTATTAATATGTTTTCAGTATTAACAGTAGTTCCAATGAATTTCAGTATTATTTTTTGTATAAATTAGTATGTTAGTTTGGAATCCCTTCCTGTTTCAGCTACCCACATGTGTACACTTAAAGGTTGTATAGAGGATTTTCCAAGGAACGAGAAATCCAGCGACTGTTTGTCCTTTTTCAAATGTTGCGCATGCGTGAAACCACCCCCCCTCCCCTACAGCTCCCTACGTAGAAACGCCTTCTCCCGCCTCTCCTCACTACGCCAGAAACAGGTTTGTTTACAGCCGGTGAGCTGCACATGACTTGTAAACAACTAACTACAGTGTTGGTTAGGCAAGGCGGAGAAGTGAGGAGCGGGGGGAGCGGGTGTGCGGACATTTCGTTCGCGGGACGAGAAGTGAGGAGCAGGGAGAAGAGCGGAGCAGGGAGAGAGGAGAGAGGAGAGAGGAGAGGGGAGCGGTGCGCGGAGATTCCGTGCCCGTAGAAGTGAGGAGAAGGGGAAGAGCGGAACGGGCAGCGGGGACAGGAGTAGGAAAGGGGAGCAGAGAAGGTTGCGCGGAGATTCAGTGCGAATGAACTAGCTACAACACGCAGCAGCAAGCGGACTCTTTCTTTGCCTTGAAAATTACGTTTTCAGACATAGGATATCGCTTTCGTGTCCTGAAAAACGTTTGACTAGCTCTTGGAAATAAAGTACGTTTTCATAATAAGCAGAAGTTACCTGTCCAGGAGTAATTTGGCGACCAATGCGTCAGTCTTTAGACCCTGCGTCTGCTTCAGTCGCGCCATCGCTGGAATGAATCTACAAGAATCACCTTAGTTTGGCTTCGCTGCTTTTTCCCCTTGTCTTCTTCTTTCAGCGACCTCAAAAAACGGACTTTCTTTTGCGGCTAACTGCTCCTGGATTCTTGTCTGCCATTGCAACAAACTTTGTGCGAACTGCGAGGAAGATATAGGTCAAAAAAAGCCGCTAAGAACTGTTGCATTGGTGGAGTAAACAGCGTCTGTGCGTCTTGCGTCTGTGGACTGCGTGACAGGCGTACGTAAACCACGTACCGGCGGCGCGCAGGCAGGTCAGTTACGCTAGAAACGTAGGGAGTTTGATTGATAGCCTGTCAGCTAACAGATAACGAGGCCGTGTCGTTATCTATTGCAAATGTTTAGCTGGCCCCACCACGTCCAGAGTTGATGAATTTTTATTCTCTTTTTTTGGTCATCATAATTACAAGCTACTGCACCTCTATAATGCTATCATTGACAACTTGAAAACAAAAAAACAAAAAAAAAAATCCTCCATACAACCTTTAAGCCATGTCATCACAGCAGCCTCTATGAAACGCTAAATAAATAAAGAAACAAAAATAGAAAAAAAATCTAATATCAACAAATCCTTTCTTCTTGTAATAAACACAAACTTTGCATTGCTTCACGTGCTGGAGTGCCACATGTACCACACTGTCCTTCATTCCTGCTGTGTTGCCGACGTGAGCGGAATTCTGAGGGCTGGAGCGACAGGCCGGATGCTCCCAGGAATGCTGCGGCCCTGCCAAGCCAACGGAGCAACCACAAGAGGAGTCCAAAGATGCAAAACAAACCAACAAATTCAGCTGTTTCGACCCACACCACGGCCAGACAAAACAAGGCCCGGCCAAATTAGACCCCTCTGTGCGCCCGTCATGACATATTCAGGTCACAGCACAAAGGAAGTATGCATCAAATTGAATCTAAATGAAGTGCGAAAGCATTATTAATGGGTAATTGCCCGTCAATCCTCGTTAGCACTCTATTTGGTGAGCGGATTGGAAAATGTAGTTGGATTAATAGCTATTGGATCAGTCAATTGGTCTTCTCATAACAGCACCTGGGTCCCATTTCACCATGCTAATGTATGTGGAAGCTGAAAATAATAATAATTTAAAACTCACCTCGGCTGCCATTTTCTTCATCCTGCAAGAGAAAAAGAAAAAGGAAAATTAAAAATTGCCAGTTTTTCTCTTATTATATAAACAACACGGACGATGATGGATAAAACACCCTAAAATCAGCTCATTTAAACAGTCAAGAAATATATTTTAGAGGAATGGTCAGAAACTGATTTTTTTCAGCCAATACCAATATTTGATCTAAATATAAACATTAAAAAAGTATAAGTAAAAGTAAAAGTAAAGTAAAAGACTAAGTTAAACTTTTTAACAAACAAATTCACTTTTCACTTTTGAAAAAAATATAACAAAATACAAACACATTTGGGGAGTATGTATTTTTTTTATGATAATTGTATAAACATGCAGTCCACTCTTTGCTCTTCTGTTTCAGATACAAACAGAAAAAATTACCAAACACTGGCTGAGTTCAGTGGAGGTTTTACCAGTACATTTCCCAGTACATCTGTGCATATTTTCTTTTTCATGAACTAGAGCTGTGGAATAAATCATTTAACTGTTTAACACAAAAAAGAAATTTGTCAAATTTACAGTGGCTTTGGAAACTTCATTTAAAAACCACTGTATGTTAGAAAACAGCATTCTTGTCGTAGGTTAAACTTAGACAGAACATAGATAATTGGTCACTGATTTCATCTATAACCCAAATATATGTTGTTTTGTTTACATAACTACTCCGCCGTATCTTGAAGTGAAAATAGGTGTTGCATGTCCAAACTGAAGATGCGGCGCTCTGTGAAGGTTTCTGACATCATTATATCCCTCTTGTGTGACACTTTCCAGTCAAAACCACATCAGACATGTTTTTCCATTTCCTCAACACATAAAACCTTTCTTCTCCTTTGCATCACTGTTAAAATCCACACTTTGATCCTGGTCTTTTAGTGACACATGTTTTGCATGTATTTGTTCTCAAGCTTCTCTACCAAAGAGTCTGATCCACTACATTAACCCCAATATCTCACAACTGATTAGGCATGAGAATACATTTACACTGCAATTTGATGAATGTAAAAGAATGAAGATTTTCTGCATTCTTGTTGTCTGTTACATAATATGGGAGCTGGTTAGGGTCAAAAGTCAGACCCTCGACAGCAAAGTAGATTTTAATATTTTCCAGAATCACAGTGTTGTGATAAGAAAACCTCAGGTCATTTAACAATGTCAGCCCCAAAAACGGATCAGATCTGCCTAGCAACACTGTGTGCATGTTGTATCATGGATCAAATTAAATATAGCAAAAGTATTGATAATGTGATTTGATTAGTTAAAATGAATAAACGTAAATAGAAAAATGCTCGTAATATATTCAGAGTAAAGAAGCAATGGAAGGACGCAGTGAGGCATAGTGATAAAGCATATGAACACTGAATCCTTCTTGACCTCATTTTATTCGTGCACAGTGACACCTTCTATGGCCAGAAAATAAAAAAGATGGGAAGAAAAAAGGTGGCGAATATGAATCCAAATATCACTAATACACAATACATAATTTCTATCTAGAAGCCCTTAGTGTTTTTAAATTATTATCTAGCTAAAAATTATTGTTAAAAAAAATTCCATGTAGAATATAAATAATCATTTGGCTACCCTTTAGTAAAGGTTAGTTCTGTCTTCAGTTAAAAGTTACACCTAGAACTAGCAATTCTTTTTGTAATTTTGATCGTATTTTCTTTTTGTGAAAACGAAATGGCCAACAGACAACCAAGAGCAAAAAGACCAAGCAGAGCAGGAACATCGGAAATCAGCCATATCTGAACACTGCAAGAGACAAAACCACACGAAGGACTGAAAGGTTGCTGGGGTCATTAGTGCTGGATCAGGGAGCCCATCAAAATCTTGCTCCAAGTCCAAGGAGCATAAATTGTGATGAGGGAGCATACACCTTCTCACACAAATGGGATGCAGTCCAAGAGAAGATGTCTGTAGGAGACAAAAGTTTCCCCTACTGTCAGGTTTCAGTCAAGTAGTCAACAAACTTACCTGAAAAAAAAACTGTCATTCTAATTTGACGACTAAAAACATAACAAATGACAATATATCTGCAGTACAGTAGGACATCTCGTCAGAACTATTGCATTAACAGGTGAACAAAATCCAAAAATATTCTCCAATCCAGGTCTCCATTCTGGGCATAGTGCCAGCCATTCAAAGAGTTCCGCTGGGCACATGCTCTCACAGACTTCAGGGTAAAAGTGCAGTGTCAGATTTCCCAAAGCTTATCGGAGCCGCCTTCATATTGGTTTGTGTTAGTGATAATTCAGGATAAGTTGGGTTGACTTTTCTCTGAAGTCTATTTGGACAGCCTCCTAAGCATGCACAGACGGATTTCCTACAAAGTTAGTATAGAGCTCTGTGTTTATATTTTTTGGCCAGAGTAGAGCACGCTGAAAGAAACGCTGTGGTATACCGGTAAGGACTACAGGACTTTGGTGTAACTGAGGAGATAGGAGCATTTTCCCACTGAGGAACTTCATGGGAATCTGAAGACCACTGTCATTCGATCCCCAATTATTCCCAAATTATACACATGGAAACAGTAATGAATACAAATGAGGAAAATTGGTGAGCTCACTTGGCTGTAAAGGTCTGTTTTCACTAGGGATAACAAAATAACAAATTTTAGTGTTACAATTAGAAACATCACAATTTAAAGGTCCTATATTACACAAAATGGATTCTTGTGAACTTTAAGCCATGTTATAATCCTCATTGAAAACACACCTGGAGTGGTGTTTTGTTTCATTCATACATGTTTGACAACAAACAATTTATTATTAGTCTGTCTAAATCTGCAAAGCGCAAAATGCTCTGTTTCACCTTGTGATGTCATGTTGTGGTCATTTTCAAGTTAACAGCTATCTTTTACCTTAAGTTAAGCCTGGCAAGGGCTGAAATCAACCAAATGAATCTGATGGCGATGTATGGCATTCAAAAACACAGTGGAGCACTTCCTGTATTACAATATGATATCACAAGAGTGTTTTCTGTTTGAGAGAGCACAGCGTAAATATGCAAGGTTTGTGTGTTAAACTTGTATGAATGAAACAAAACACAACTCCAGGTGTGTTTGTGATGAGGAAACAACATTATAATATAGATCAAAAATAGTGTATAATAAGACCTTTAATAATTATTCAACAGATATTGACACCATGACCAGAGAACAATGAAATCTTTACTTTTAGTTCATTCACACTGTTGAAGAGATTTACCATTCCACTATAATGTGACCAACTTTATCAAATCATCCTTTCTGAATGATAAAGTTAGAGTGACATAAACAGCCAGATAAATGTGTGTGTGTACTTTTCGGACTATAAGAATTGAAAATAAATGGTCATGATTAGTATTTGTTAGTTCTTATGATTATATTATGACTTTAATCACCACAATTATCAATTAACCAAATAATCTTGAGTTTTGATAGGCTGCAAGTAAAAAAAAAATCTATGGTCAATTATAGAGGAATGTGCAATTCTAGGATAATCACAATGCAATTTTTCACTGCTATGAAAAAAAGAATTATAAGAAGCATAAAAAAAAAAATGTCTGCTAATTTCTAACAGCAATTCCTTTGAGGACACTTTCCATGTAAAGAGCATTACAGAGATGAATATGTAATCATATGCACTCTGATGCTTTCTCTAGAAATAAATATAATTTTCTAAACTGAACTCCAACTGAACTTGTCAGTGTGCTGAAACTGTCTTGTCTGTTGCAAATGTATGATCATGTCTGTAGGATAAATAAATGTATGTTATATGAGCAGCATACATAACACTCAACACTAGTTTTCTCTCAAAACAGCAGCATGTTATTTTTAACTATTCGTCTCGCTTTGCAAAGTATATGAAGATTTGTATCACATTCTATTGTGACATGTGATATGTGTTCTTATGAACTACAACGCCATGGGCTTGAGAAACAGCTATATCATATTTACTATGCGTTACATTTTGCCTCATGGGATATTGCTGTTATGTTTTAGTCTGTCTTTTGTATGAATTATTGTGAGAAGAAAAATTTTAATTTTACTATTGACATCATTTTTGACATTATGAGAAGAAGGAGAAATACTGAAACCGTTGAGGCTAGGGCTGCACAAATTTGGAAAGATTAGATTGAATTAGATTGTGATATGTGTTTAAATATGCAATTTAAGTTAAAAATTTTAATTCTGTTCACAGTTCACATTGGAAACCACTCCAAATTTGAGAAAAGACTGAACTATGAACTGCTATAATAATACAAGAATATAATGCATTTAATAAAAGAAGATACTGTAAAGATACAGGTACATTTTGGTTTGCCAAAATCACCAAGTAACCAACCGGAGAGACACATGGTCCATCCACATAAAAAAGCAAGCACGTAAAAAAGGGGGAACCTAAAAGACTGAAAAAACTGAAGCACTAAACTATTATTTATTTCAGGTAAAAGAAGTGATATGATTTGTTCTGAATGTTATGATGTTTTGGAGATGTCTGCATTTGAGAGACTCATGCTACAAAATAGCAGATGTGGTTTGATCTAAGTTTGGATGGCGGATTTTTACCCTCTGTTGTCCGATTCCAGTCCCTTCTGGATTCAAACAAAATGTAGAAGGGGCTGTTAGGTGGTTAAGGTACATACAGGTATACTTTGCAGAGAACTTAGTCTAGTGCTGTCCTAACCTTGAGAGAGTTATGCACTGCAGACTCCGGTGGATAGACGATGAAGTGACGCAGGGTGAAGCCAAATCCCTGGGAGGTGCGGCGCAGGTGCAGTGTTTTGGGCCCGGGCCACGAGAAAGGCTCCTCCTCTGGGACAGGAGAGCCCAGCACTGACCCCTCGCTCTGCTCACGACCATCCTTCTGCTTGGCCTGGAGATGACAAGAGAACATAACATGAGCAATGGGATGGTACAAGTTACAGACACAGTAAATCATATAATCAGTAGCATCAACAATTCAATCCAATTTAGAAAAACAATAATAAATACGGTTTTGCCACTAATTCAGTAAGAAATACTATACTAGTATTTCCAACATGTAAACCAATCACAGTCTGTTACCTTTTCTTCTCAACGGATCACATCTCAAGTTATTAATTTAAGCCAGGCATATACTGTGCGATTTTTGGCCCTTTTTGAGACGATTTTTCCCTCATGAGACTGTTTTTGGGATCAGGCCGAGTTTTGTCTTAATCATGTGTCATGCTTCGTGTAGTATACGTGGGGTAACCAGAACCGATTAATACCTCACTACCAGCTCCCCATCAGCTGTTTGAAATTCACACACCTCTCGTTTTGCAGTGTTGAAGTAATTCGCATTGAGTGAGAACATGAATCGTGAGCTGCGAACTTTCAAACCCTGCAATTTGGTTGTACAGTTTGAGCTGCGTTTGAGTTAAACGATTGAAAATATTGCACAGTGTATGTACGGCATTAAAGCAGAGAGCCGATCCAGCATCATAGACTGGTGCTCAGTACAGTGAATAATTCAAAAATTAGAATTTAAAACAGGTTACAATGAGCCACCATACCTTTATTCATACCAAGATCCTCAATAGGACACACTAAATATTTGATGCTGGTTTTATCAAAGTAGATTTTCAAAAAAAATAGCAGTAAAAAAAGGACTACTTAAGATTATGTGGGCCAACTCAACTAGAAGTCTGAGGGCTAAAAAAAAATTCGCTCTCACATGTAATCCTCCCCAAACCATCTACCTCCACAGTAGCAGAACCAACAGCCTCCTCAGCCTCTGTATCACCTCTTCTTCACCACCACCAGAGTTTAGACTCCACATTAAAATATTTTTTGCATTGCACCACCATTGTTGTTTGTAGCTTCACCTGTCATTACGTTTTCAAATGGATTCCACCACATTTTAACCACTTTACTAAGCTTAAAGTTTTCAATGTAATGTATGGTATGGTAGACAGCAAGGAGAGGAAAATGGGTCTTGAATTGCTGCTCCAAATTGGTGTTCAAGGGTGTGTCCAGACTCACTAGGGTGGCAACAGAATCAGCGTCTTTAAGGCGACAATTTTGAGAATTTACTATTTTAATTTCTATTTTCATGTTTTGGTTATAATTTGGTGCAATGTTACAGGTAAAATTTCACTGTGCCACCACTGGCCACTCCCCAGAACCACCCTGTAGCTCTTAAAACCATTAAAATTAAAAACAAGCCTTAATTAAGTATTATAGGCAAGAGTGACGGACTGATTAAGCTTTCTCCATGTGCTGAAATGTCCTCCTCATTAAACCTGCTCTTTCCCTCTTAGCTCTGATAATTACTTAAAGCTAAACAGTTTGGTTAAAACAAAGAGTGGAGTGTTTTCACAGAAGAAACAGCCACGGGGTTAAACACAGATCGTCATAATCAACGAAGCTTTTGAAAACACTGCAATTCCCCAGCTGTGGATTCTTCACATGCAGACTGTTCCTGCCCCAACACTAGTGTCATTTTGTGGTCAAGGTTGTGCTGTCGGGAATGTGACTGACTAAAAGTTATGCAATACAAAACTGAACTCTTAAATTTGCTATGCTATTTGAACTGAAATATTGTTGTAAACTGAGTGATTATTTAGCAAAATTATGTGCAAAGGTTTTACAATAATAGACAAGCATCATATTCCAATATAAGTAAACTACAATTACTGCAATCTTAGGTTATTAAAATCACATTTGCACTACTTCACACATGGCTTTTGTACTAAATGTGTAGTGTGTGTAAGGACACATAACATGACTGAATGATGAGTTCATCATCAACAACAAATGTGTCCAAACTATAAAAAATATATATATTTAAAGCTACAGTATGTAACTTTTTAGGCCAAAAAATAGACTTAAGTAAAAGCATGTTATTTGTTGTTTTTAATTTTTTATGTTGGTTGTTTATTGTTCTGAAACACATGCATCTTTACTCTGATCGAACTTGCATCTTTACAAACCTGACTCTTATTTGGCTTGGAGTACAGCCTCTTCCTGGCTCTTTCTGTGGAAATGTTGTTCCTTTGACTATAATCTTCCACAGTATGGCATAAAACTCATCTATCACCATGTATTTCGAAGTATGGTTTCAACTTTCTATTTCCACGGACTCATTCAGGTGACATGCCACCTCAAGCAAGTTACATACTGTACCATTAACATTTTATTACAAAGCATAAAATGCACTGCTAGATTCTCTTACATCTGCCATAAAACTGTAACTGTAGAAACATTTTTCTAACATACAATGGAGAGCAGCAAGTATAAACTGCAACCAGACTTTTCTTTACACAGGCTTATGAGTTCTTGTTCTAATTTTGTGTTAGTGGAAATTTCCAGGAACAAGATTACCAATTATCATTCCCAACATTTCATGAAAATATTTATCTTACACTGTGGTACATTACAAACGGATGCAACAAATTCAAGTGCTTCTAAACCTATTCTGACATAGAGTATTACTAAGCCTGATGTGTTTCGGTTTCATTTATATCCAGTCTAAACAGTGTCATTGGAAATCAGAGCACGTTAGCAGAGTCAGAGTCGTTAGCAGTCTGGGCAGGGTAACCGGTGTCCCATCCATCAGACCTGTAATGACGAAGGTGAAGCATTGCGCCATAGGGAGTGCGTTAGCGGTTCTTGCTAACACTACCAACATTACTGCAGGCTACATGAGGCTGCCAATAGCTCCACAGGCTCTGCTCCTACCAAAATACAGCTCAGCCATGGTTCCAAGACAAAGCCCCTCTCCTCTCGCTCCTCTATCCACACCTCAGTTGGGGCTGTCTGGGAGCAGCAGATGTACAGTCCTCCTGGGAGCTGGGATGGGTGTGGACGCTCTGGTTTGACTGGTGAAATCATCGGTAACACTAAGAGCTGAGGGTCCTGGATGATAGCCACAGTCCACAAAGCAGAGAGAACTCTACAGCCCGTCTGTTTGTTTTCATTTCACGCTTCAAATTTAATGTCGGATTATGCAATAGCTTAGCCTTTTGGGGCACGTAGCTGACTGTATACAAGGCACATGTGCGTACAGTCTTGCTCCTCGTCTATTACAGCTCCCATTGAAGGAGGGGATGTTGTGAACTACTGGGTTTCGAATGACATGACAACATTATAGTGGCCAAGATGATGTTAATAATGGGAGGCAGCCAACCATAATGTCCTTAGCACATGTTAGGACTGCAAGATTAATCGCATTCGACTCAAAATCGCAATTTGAATGGACGCAATTAGCAATTTTTTAAGTACTGTGATTTCAATCTACAAACAACTAAAAATGTTCTTCTTATTCTGCAGAGAAACTGCTAACCCTGCAGGTTACATCTGTACAAACATGTTATGAAATGTAATGCTTGTATTAGTTTGTCAGTCCATATTTCATTTTTTTGTAAATTCTTCTGGGAACATTTAAAATGTGAACTTTGAACACAATCCTACTATTAAAACATAAATCGTGAATTTTATTGCAATGCTTTGTGAGATAAATCACAATTAGATATTTTTCCCAAATTGTTCAGCCCTAGCACTTACGCAGATCTTTTGGTGTGGTAGACTTAAGCGTGATAATAGGTTGAGTCACTATAAATTACCAGGTTCAACATTTGAGGATTTTCCTACTGGATTTTTCTAAATAAATACCATTTACTGGGATAGTTGTCCCATCAAACACTGGAGCGTCATTCAGGAAATTGCAAACCACCAATTGGAAGTACAGTCTTGAGTTGATAAATAAAATCAAATTATGCATGCAGTCTGCTCATCAAAACAAGCCCAGTTGTGCATAATGACGTTTGTGGCATGTGCTGCCATATGGTGCTGTAGCTGGCAACATGCACATTAGCATGTTCATTAAATTCCTATTCCTTTGTGGTTTGAAAATCAGATGTTTGGTTAAAATTTTAATAGACTTTGCTTTTTCTGGACTCATGAGTCATGTTTTTTTCAGTTCAGATGACATCATAGACCTACCTCCTTCATTTTTCTTTCCTAACATCTCTCCCTTCACTGACCACAAGTCATTAGTCACTCCTACACTATCAACAATCTGAGCACTTTACCAGAACATGATAAGGCTGAATTACATGTATGAGCTAATAATGGGGCAAAATCTAGAACGATTCCACACGCCGACATTATCTTATTCCCGTAAATATCAGCCAGTGAAACACAATGACGCGTACCAAAATCCCCCAAAAAAGCCAGTCTTAACCTTTTCCTCTACTCCTTACTGTGCCTATGTTACTCTATATGCCACTGACACAGACTGGTAAAGGCTGAGCAAATAAAGTAAACGATACTGCATTGTCGAGGAGAAAAAAAATTGTAACATTGTCTTTCTTTGCTCTTCTAAGTTTATTTCCATGTTTTATTTTACTAAACTCTCCAATAATCAGGCATACTGCATGAAAATGGGGAAACTTTCTAATAAAAAACTTATTTAGATTTCACACAATAAAATTCTACATTAATATCTTTCAATTTTTGCATCAGCTGCACACCTTTTTAGCATCTTTTTCTTATCAAAGCCAACAGCGTAGCATAAAGTGTTGCTATAAATATTCAGAAATTTCTATCCATTTGAACTTTTGGTGCACTTGTGTGACGTCAGTGTTTATGCAGCAAAAGCCCCTTTCGCTGCAGCACTGTGGATATTTGATCTTCCTTAGGCGTTACTGAATCATTTGGTGCTACAATAACCCAGCCTAGTTGCATCTTACAGAAATATTTAGTCAATATTTTCAAAACGCTTTTACTTTTTTATGTCTCCATATTATTCCAGAAATTGTGAGAAAACAGAGCTCTTGTTTGATGCACATCCTTACCCTGGATCGGACACAGTTCTTTATGGATGCCTCCCTTAGTCGAGCCCAGGAAACA